TATAGGAAATGAGAATTAACGCGATCATTTAGGTAAATTATGATAATTTATCTGATTGTCTCGACGTGTCGACCAAGTTACACCGACTGCGGTCACGAGTCATTGATGTAGCGCTGTCATGTTTCCACTGCAGAAGGTTTTTCTTCTACTACCCACTCATTGTCCCACATCATACAAATTGTGTTACTATATTAAGGGATTCGGAATACAACACTGACTGTGTATTTATTTGATGCATTTACCGATTGCACATTACAACGAAGTAATGACCGTTCTGGTCTTTGTCTATGGTAAAGCAGAAAAGTCTGGATTTCAGGATATATCTTGAACACTTAATCTAATTTGTTTTCTAACGCTATAAAATTCAAATGTTCCCTCACATTAGCGGTCGATGGTTGTTTTCACCAGGTCATTTGCGGACACGAGCGAATCGCCGCCTATTTGTATTTAACGACTCAGCTCGCGTATCAAAAGCGAGAAATCTTTTGACTTTGAAACTGACCGTAACGTAGTAAAGTAGAAATTCGTTGAGAATAATCCCCTTTGCATATAAAAAACTATGTGCCAATTAGTTTTTATAGTCTTCGTAAATGAGATTAGGTTTTTAGATTCGACTGTTCAAATTTTGGTTTCTATCTTTTTCAAATTAGTACGGTTATTTTTTTATCTGATTTCTCTTGATATAAGGATCTTTTGTTTACATCTAATGATTGCCTAGACTCTAGACAACCCAATTACACCATTTAGCTAGTCCCCAAACTAGTATACTCTAGACTCTAGAGACTACTAGTTTGGGAACTAGCCAAATGGTGTAATTGATTGACACTTTTTTCAAATTTTGAAATGTAACAAATGAATGAATATTATCCACGGAAGTTTGAGTCTTTTTTTTATAACATAGGGGGCAAACGAGCATGCAGTTCACGTGATAGTAAGTGATTGCCGCCGCCCATAGACACTCGCAACATCAAGAAAATTGTGGGCGTGTTGCCGGAGTTTTATACAGAAACATGCTTTTTTCCTGAAGGTTTCAATGTCGGATCTGTTAGAAAATACTGGTGCTGGGGGTTAGTTCTATATTTTGATTATGCGTTGAAGAAAATATTTACAAAAACCTACGGGCGGAGGATCGCCATTCATAGGTCAGATTGAAACATTAGCGGGTTGTACGGTGATGAAATTAAGCGGCTTGTATTCGAATAATTCCTCTGAACACATATAATGATATATGCGATATAAGACCCGAATAGGCGCAACATCTTATCTACGTAATGCCAGGATATGAAGTTAATCAAGTCGTTGGTCATCAGTAATTCTAGTCGCCCGGGATATTAGAATAGATATTTTTTATAATCATTAAAATTAGATAAGAGTCTTTTGTCAGAATGTTGTTGTTCAGTTACTTTTAGTCTTATTTACGTGGATGACACATCTGTTAAGGAAAGCATCGGCTACTGGGAGCCACTTATGATCGAATATAATAATTATGCTTATTTGCCACCGCAGCATATTAAAATTATAATTGGAGATTTTAAAAATTAACCGGTATTTTAGTAGCATATAATTTGCGTACGTATTTATGTAATTTCTCTTAACTAAAGATAGAATTTCATTGATCTTTAAATAGAATTTCGGACGCTTGACCGTTGTATAATTATTTAATAGTATAAAATTATCTCATATTATACGCAATATTTTAATAATCATCCCAATAAAGCAATTAAGTTGTTTCGATACCAAAACATATGATTGATTTATGATTTAAAAAGATGTACTAATGGGCGATTAAGAAAGTGAGGCGAAATTTACTACGGAACAAGAAAGTTCTTTTTTTTTTTTTTAAATTGAAATTATAATAAATGTTATTTGGTATTTCAACACGTTTCTTTTCTGACAACTATATTGTAGCTTGATTCTATTGGTTGCCTATTGATTTTGTATAAAACTATTTTTATTTACAATAAAATATAGGTACTGTAGTGGTGTTGTGTGGTCCCGGTATAGAATGGACCGCCCCAGCTTTTCCCGTGACTGTCATAAAACGCAACTAAGGGAATATCATCAAAAGCTAAACCGCGGTTGCCAATCCGCCTGCCAAACGTGGTAACTAGTGGCAAAATCCCTTCAATGGTAAATTGCTGTAAAGCTTATGGTAGTCTAAGGGCAAAGCCTATTTTTAGCAGTGGACAGAAAACGGATATGATGATGATACTGTAATAATTCTAATTGATAAATAAATATTTATTAGAGCTTTACTTCTAAATATCGTTACAATACTGCTATGTATTATCATCATATTTTGGAACTTTATTATTAATCATCTTGAGCTTTCTTTATATATTCTTTTGGTATACTTTAATTTTCTTTACTCCGATCTGTTTGAGCTAGCAATTGTTCACTTGTAGCTCACTATTTTCACTATGGGGTATTTTAAAATTTTATTTTTAAACCTAGTCACAGATAAACAAATAGTATTAAAATATATACTATGCTAGTAGCCTAGCGGATTAATTAGTAAATTGATAGAGTTTGTCGTTGAGTAAGTCTGTCAACTAGAAAGTCTTTTTATATACGTGTAAGTTAGCATGTTAATGAGCAAATACATGTAAATGTGTACATATCATCCTGCTGATTCATTCAGTTTAAAATAACATATTAAATGACGTAAGCGGAATTAAAAAATATTTAATATCCCAAATCACGTTTCAACGAGTGTTAGCTTATTTGGAATACGTGATGGAATACATGATGGCTTTTAAAATTATTAATGCTGTAGTTGAAATAATAGAGAATAGAAGAGGCAAAATGATGGGCCACCTTATACGACATGATGATTTTTTTAAGAGCATAGTAGAGGGAAAAATAGAGGGGAAAAGAGGAAGAGGAAGACCGAGGAATAACTACATGGGACAGATAAAAGTAACACTAGGTGTCATGTCGTATAAGGAGGCCAATGATATAGCCTGGAATAGAACAGGCTGGAAGAAGATGCCTGAATTAGTTGCACCGACAAGAGGAAACTCTTAAATGAAAAGAAGAAGTTGAAATAAGTCTGATGATTGTAATAAACAATTTAGAAGGATTCAAAGGATTCATAAATTAAAAAAAGGATTATAATAAGATGAATAACATAGAAATTCTAAGCAATTCAAGGGATTTAATAGAATTAAGAAAGATTACAATAAATTAAAAATTGAAAAATTGAAAAAGGAATGTTGCGTTGGTTTGGTCATTTGGAGAGGATGGATGAAAGAAGAATTACGAAAGAGATTTATCGAGCAAGAATGAATGGAGATGTCAATAAAAATTAAGACAAATTAAAAGTACCAACCGACGAGCGTTTTTAAAGTGGAAGAAGCGAAAGAGGTTTGTTTGAATCAAGCATTTGGCGTTCCATTGTTTCTGCCTACCCTAATGAGACAAGATATGTATGTATGTATGTATGTACAATAAATTAAACAAACCAGAATTTTTAAAGAATTCAAGCAGTTTCCAAAGAACAAAGAAGAAGACAAACAACAAAAATATTCCATGGATTCGATAACTGTAAGAGACATAAGAGCGCAATTTTTGGTTAAAAAGACCTACTATATGCATTCGACCATGGATAGAATGAAGTGATGAAAACGATGATGATGATGAATCGAAAAATGAATGGTTTTAGCTGCCGTGCAAACGCACTTGTGATAAATTATGTATTACGTACACTAACTCCACCTATTTATTACCTTATTTACCTGTCCATTCCACTATCACTGAAATCCATTTATGGACTGTACCAGGAAACGTTTGATAAGGAATAGGTAGTCCAGCTCGTTCCGGTTAACACAAGTGAACGTGAAATTGTCATGCACTACAAATTTTGAAATATAAACTAAATGAAATCCATGTATCGCGCATATTTAGCATTAATTTTGGGGTTAAACATCTTAATGTTTTTGTGAAATTATATATTGTACTAATTACTAGTCGTCACATAATGTTGTCACTATTGAGAAGTACCCTCAGGTTTATTATATACTTTAATTTTTGTCGGTTCTTGACATTTCTTTTTAAAGAATTATAATAAAATGGTAACCCCACCCGCATCATCGGTATACATCAGTGAGGGATTATAGGTGAGGATGAAGTAAGGTCAATTGGAGCATCGCGAGTATTGTCAGTAATGCGGACTACTAGTCCCATTGCTAGCAATATATCCTGTCAGATTGACTTCCACGTGGTCCCTCCTGGAAACCATTGTGCTGAATTCTTAGTGTATTCATCACGATGGGCTAACTTACCCGCCATTTCATCTCACCTATCATCTCTCACTGGTGCCAGCGTAAACCGTTAGCGCAGGCGGGATTACCCTTCCATTGTCATCTATTAAAAAAAAACTTTTATATTAGATTTACTTTTATATAATTAAATTTAAAAAAAATATTGGCGTCGCCGATTGCAGAAAAATCATTCCCAAGTTACTACCAGAGAAACAACTTTGTACAAAAGTTGATTGCTTAGGTACCTCTGTCTCATTCGTGTTTCAACCGTAAAGCAGTTGTGTTTGCATGGCTGTGTTTCGGTTTAAAGGGTGGGATATGGCGTGAATTTACTGGGTACAGAGGAATAACACCTGAGTCCTCAGGAATGGCAACGCATGGAGGGTATCATGGGCGAAACAGTATACTCTGTTATGTCCATGGTACTGCTCATGTCTATAGGCGACGGTTACCACTTTCCATCAGGTGGGCCGTCAGCTTGTTTGCTGTTCTAAGTTGTATAAAAAAAACTATTTTTTTATATTGTCGATACGATATATTTTTTTAATTTTATCTCTCATTTTAAATGCATAGTTATAAAATTTGATATAATAGTTGAATTCGGATTTAATTCCTGCCATATTACTATATCAATGAAAGGGAACATATATTTTATGTAGATTTTTTATGAAAAATTTAAATATTTAATATAAATTAAATGTAAATAGTTCTTTATAACTATAAAGAACTATTCTTTATAACTCATCTATTAGTATAAAGTGGAAAAGCAGATGCTTCTATAAACGCCAATATTATTGTATGTCGGGCTTATCCCGTTAGTAAATAGGCTATAAATGGACAAATTGATAGAATACCAATAAGGCTCGCATAATGCTATAACGGACGTGTCTGATGTTAAATGAATTCGAATTTGAATTCAGAGAAAAGAGGTACGACATGGAATTCCTTAACTTTTTATTTTTAAATTTTATGAACACATGGCAAATTATTTTAGTTAATGTACAGAAGAGAACATTTTATATACCGCATGCTTAATGTAATACTGACTCTTTAGTAGATAGGTCAGAATTGAGTTACTTACAGATGTAGGCTTCTGTTACCACTATCTACCGTCTACCTTTTGAATTATGTTGAAATTACGCATTGTTGCCACCCCTGCAATATATCCGTCTCTTTCACATTTGTGGGATCTCTCTTCGTGTTTTCGTCAAACAGAGACTCACGCCAGTTTGTGTCCAGCACTTGTAGAGAGAGGTTATTATAGTTTTATTGAACGAAGACCCAATCATTATTGAGTGTGTTTACGACTAAATTTGAAGTAAGTTTTATCCAATTTTGTAATCTTATATTGACAGATTAAACTTGAGGTCAGTTTAATAGATATTTTACTAATATATTACGTGAAACATTCTGTTTTAAGACAATTTAATATTATACGTTATTATATCTTTTGGGAGCTATTAAGATTTAAGTCAGTTTACTATTAAAACAATCCATTACTTGAGGTAACACTTTGTAGCATTCGAGTATAAGTCTGTTTACCACTGAAAGTTATTTTTACTTAGGGGCCATAATATTAGTTTAGTCTTTGTTTGAAAAAAAGAATGGAATATAATGCGTAACTTTTTGCTTTTCCTGTAAATATTTTATATTAAGTCATTGTTGATCTAAAAACTACTTACAAAAATTTTTTATTGTCCCAGAGGCATAATATTACTATTTATATTTTAGGTTGATAATGTCGCTGAATAGCTCGAAAAAGATAATAGAACTTATTCGGACTCGAAATCCGGCGCCACTATTGGCAACACAAGATAAAGGACACGAATCAGTGCCATCAACAGAAGTGACGGTAACAATTTTAAAGAACTTTAAAAATTAGGTTCGTATATTTCTTATTTATTTTAATATATTACTAAAATACGTTTTATTATTGTAGATGTTAACTGATATAACAAACAATCCCGAAAATCAGCATTACTCAAACGTACAGGAATATTTTGAAGTTTTGGAATCACCTTCAATTAACAATGAAAATGACTTTCATAACATCACAGACATCCACGATTGCACTGATGAAAAACATTCCAAATCTGAAAATAGCGATGTCGATTTGAGCGATCAAGATTCGACATACATTCCAACTAAAAAGAAAAAGCAAATACCAGTATATCCAAGTCGATCAAGATCATCAGGGAGCTCCTCATCTTCTACATGTTCTTCATCCTCATCAACTTCAGGATCTTCGAGTGATAGTTCCGATACAGACTCCAGTAATGAACAAAACAAAATAAAAAATAACATTGTTCAGCAATCAGCAAAACAATCGGAGCAAAGAAACATTAATGAACCTACAATAACCGAAGTTGCGAAAAATCAGGAAATCAGACAATATACTACATTACTAGAAGAAAATGAAGGCGAGAAGAAGGGAAGGAAACGTAAACGGAAAGAAGAAAGCTGGAAACAGAATAAAGCTAAAAGTCTGAGAAATGCAGGAAAATCATACATCAATATGAAAAATAAAACAATTAATCCTCGTTCTGTTCAACTACCCTGTGGTATTCAATGTAGACTCAAATGCTGTAAAAAGATAACTGCAGATCAAAGACAAACAATTTTTGATATGTATCGGAATCTCGGCCAGGTTGATGCTCAAAGATCATTCATTATGTCTTGTATGACTAATATAAACCCAAAATATAAATATACAAATGCTAGTAATCCAAGAAATTGCAATAAAGCTTTCCATTTCGTAGTAGAAGGGCAGTCTGTTCGAGTCTGTAAAACGTTTTTTATAAAAACCTTAGATATTTCTGATCGTGTTATACGAACTGTCAGAAGCAAAATAGATGAACATGGAATTCTAGCACAAGATCTGAGAGGACAGCACAACAACCATGCAAGAGTTGATAAACAACTACTAAACGATATTAAAGAGTTTATAGATTCGATACCAAGAATTGAATCCCATTACATTAGGCAATATTCTACTCGTGAGTATATTGATGGCGGGAAAACAATTTCAGATCTTTTCAGAGACTTTAAAGTAGCTCAAAATGAAAATAACAAAGCAGCTGGTAGATATTGTACATTTTATAAAGTATTTACACAAGATTATAATATATCATTTTTTCGTCCCAAAAAAGATCAATGCGATTTATGTTTGCAATATAATAACACGACGCTTCAGCAAAAAGTATTACTTAATGATTTGTACAATGCCCATTTAGAAGAAAAAACATTGAGCCGCCAAGAAAAATATAATGATCGCTGCAAAATAGATGATGGAAATAAAGTTCTTGTGTTTGATCTACAAGCTGTTTTGCAATCTCCTAGAGGAAATAATTCAGCATTTTATTACAAATCAAAATTGAATAGTTACAATTTCACAATAACGCTTTTAAACAAAAAAGTTGACGGTCAAATTAAAGACTCGTATGACGACGTACACTGTTTCTTTTGGAACGAAACTGATGGTAAACGCGGGGCTAACGAAATCGGATCTTGTTTACTAAATGTTTTTGAGAAGCTCTCAGCGGAGTCAGTAAATGAGAATGGGTGTAACTTAATTCTATATTCTGACAATTGCTGCGGTCAAAATAAAAATAAATTCATAGTTGCAGTTTACCTGTATGCAGTCACTCATTTAAATATTAATACTATTACTCATAAATTTTTAGTAAAAGGTCATACACAAAACGAGGGTGATAACATCCATAGTCTTATAGAAAAGGAGATTAAAAAAAATCTAAACTCGGGTCCAATATATTCCCCTCACCAATATGTAACCATAATTAAAAATGCAAAGAAGTCTGGCAAAAAATTCTCAGTACATGAACTAACATTTGAGTCATTTTTAGATTTGAAAAAACTTCAAGAAGATTGGGGTGTTAACTTTAATAAAAGTAAAAACGGGACTACTGTTTTATGGAATGACATAAAGGTGATAATGGTGAAAAAAGATACACCTTTTTCATTTTTCATTAAAACTTCGTACAAACATAACGTATACCAGGAAGTAAGCATCAGAAATACAAGGAAGAAAATGCTTCCTCTGCTTCTAATTAAACCAACTAATGCCTACATACAAAAGAAAGAGCTAAGTGAGAACAAAAAGAAAGATCTGAGAGAGCTTTTATCAAAAAAAATTATTCCAAATTTTTATTTAGATTTTTATAACTCTATTCTTTAATAGTGTACCCACCTTATAATTAATAAATTAACTTAAGATTAATAAAACAATGATTACATACCAAAGTTATTTAAAAAAATCTAAAAAGTTTAATTATGTTTTCTTTATAAGTTTTGATTTTGTTTTATAGTAATTTAACTAAACTTGATTAATACATTGATTTATTTTATAGGTTTAATAACCAAAGTGTGTATATTTTTTAAGTTTGTTAAAACTTTTATGTTCTAATATAGAAATTTTGTTTTATAATTTCAATTCAAACAAGCAATTCTATTGCTTTTTTTTGCATTATTTTTATGTTGATTTATAGAACCAATAAATAAAATTGAGACGTCAAATTTCTTATTTGTATGTGCTACTGATAAAGAATACTGCAATAAAAGTTTATTATTTATATTAATGTCTTTTAATAATTTGAAAATGGCTGGTATTAAGTTTATCGACAGTCTGCTAATTTGAATAAAATGACCCATTCTCTAAATATGTTTTCCCAATGTAATCATATATAGACTAAATCCTAAATTAGTCATTATAAATAATTAATAATTTAAAATGAAACAGGCTTAAAACCTAATAGAATACTTGCATTTAAAAATGTTTGCTTTACTTTTTATAAAAAACTGACTTAACTTAGAATGTACATTTTACATATTTTTTTTTAAATAGATAGAAATTATTTTCGGCATTTGTTTTTACTTGGTATTGATCAATAGTTAATCATATTTTTAAAATACAATCATTCATGGTTAATTAATAATCCGTTTTAATGTTATTCATCAACAAGTAGGCTAAGTCCTTATAGCAAAATCTTCTTTTGCGACTTCCCAACAATTATATTTTTTGAGTTAGGTCAGTCTTTCATTAAGCATGCGATACAATAGTTATATATTTTTATCAATGTGGTCAATATTTTAGACACTATTAAAATATTATAGAAATTAAAATGTTGACAATTTGCACATTCTTATATATTGTTTCTGTTTTAGGATAATTTTAACTATGTATCATTTGTTATTACTATAACATATGATACCAAAATTTGTTTTGGTCAATGAAAGTAAAAAAAAATATCAGTTTATAGATAGTAGAGAAATAATGCAGTATATTTCTACGCTACTATGTTTTGAAATAAACCAAATATGTTTCCTTTTTGTCACAGATTTTTATACTTATATGAGAAGTACTGCATGGCGTATAAATAAAGCACAAATTTCCCCTCAACGCCACAAACTAAACGCTTCAATCGATGACCAACAATGGTAGGTAATCGACGATTTGCGTTCAATACGATTAATTCGATTTCACCGGCGAAATTGTTTTTATCGATTCACAGCTTTCTTTCGTCAAGTACAAGATATTTATCGCCGTCGTTTGTTTTATCTATGGCGTAGGCTTTATAGTTTTTCATATTATGAACCCGTAATAAAATGTATTTTATGGTGCGTTATATAAGTGTGAATATAACGCGAAAGAAAATATTTTCCACGGTGCCTGGTACCCGTAATTATATATTATTAATAGTATCTTTAAAATGATAATTTGTGGTGTAAGAGGTGCCATGGTGATCGTCTGACTTTATAATGTAGGTAACTGTAGACCCCTGACCTGTTCATGAATATTTAGTAATAAATCTATTAACGTTTGATCTTGCGGTAATAAATTTCATCGCCCACTTGGTATATTTTTTCAACACGAATCTCTAACACATATAGATTGATATTCCTTTTTTATTTTGATGTTTAATTAATATTATAGTTTTTACCCGCGAGTTAGTCCGCGTGACTGCGATGTACTTATTTACCGGGATAAAAGTAACCCATGTCCTTTTTCAATCTAAATACTATGCATATGCCAAATTTAATGACGATTGGTTAAAAACTTTAGAGCGTGAAGAAGTAACCAAAACAAACTAATAAACATATTACAACTTAATATATAATAGATATATAAAGGATTTTTTTTTATAGATATAATTAAATAAAAATCTAAAATAAATAACATTTTAAAAACGAAACAACTTGCATTATTTCCTAACTATAAACGTATTAAATTTACTGTGTTTTCTACAAAGCCTAAAGCGTATGGTGTCACATTTCTCAATAGTGAAATGACTCGAATTGGCCTGCTTAGGCACAATACTAAGGGAACAAAGTGAACTTTAAGACTCGTATCTAGTCGGTCAAACGTGTATTAACATTTAGGTTAAACTATATCTGTCCCTTTTATTCGTCATTGATATGAAAGGGACGTGTAAAGTCGAAGTTCAGATGTTTCATGGGACCACTCAGGTTGAAGACAGGGCGATAGATCTGTTGTAGCAATATGTCAGTTGTTGTAATTTATTTATCTCGTTATATCCATTAATTTATGTATTAAACGGACTAGCTTGTAGCATTTTGTATAATTCGTTCGCCTATAAATGCTGCCGTGGGTATGTCCTGTTTCGTTTGCTTAGACATTCATTAATGTGCAAAATCATATGAATCTGTCAGTATAAATATAAATATATATATATATATATATATATATATATATATATATATATATATATATATATATATATATATATATATATATATATATATATACTTGCATACATTTTTATTCATATGGCTTTGACACAATTTCAAAGGACAGACTTTTTATTAGATAAATTTTGTTACTAATACAAAATACTGTAGTATGTAACCAACGATCAAGAATTATCATGAAACGTAACTAAAACATCTTGATTAAAGTCGTTTTTATAAAGAATTGAATTCAGCCCATTGGAAGCTACGACGCCACAGACACATATAAAAACTTTAATTTTATAATACCTCTTTTTGTGTCGGCAGTTAATTAAACAGAAAAAATAAATTAAACAAAACGCTCCGCGGTCTACGTCGTAAAATGATTACGAACTATGCCACTAATGCGTTAAGCAGACTATAAAATTATTTTCTAACAATAATAGTAATGCTAATAACTGTAATTATTAAGGTCATATTGAATGTTATCTCGTAATATTATACTATCGTGATATATTATAATGACCGTGTGGTCTCGGCGTAGAAAAGGTCACTCCTTCCTTTTCCTTGTGTATCGTAAGAGCCGACTAAGGGAGGGCGAGGGGTGGGCAGCAGTGTCCCACTTAAAACATCTTTAAAGCTCTGACTGCGGTTGCCAATCCGCATGCCATGCATGGTAACTACTAGCAAAATTTTTATTTTATAATAAGTGTCCAAATGTTTAATTGGTGTAAACGAAATTCTGAAAGTAAAAGTAGGTAATACAGTAAATATATATATAAAAAAAAACCGTGGTGTATTTTTTTAAGTCAATTACAACATTAAATACAATTTAAAATTTATATTAGACGATATAAAAATGTTCATTTTAGGTAAAACATTTGTGTAGTGCCTCCTATCTAGTTATTACAGATTTACATATACACAATATTATTTCTCTGTATAACATTTTGTATATTTCCTCTAGAATTTGTTATTTACTACTATCACTTAAATCTCTACCGGGTAATTAGTATACCTTGAAATGAATTCTGAACAAGAACAGCCCAAGGGTATGGGAGTGTTTCACATTTACGCGCGAACTCTGATAAACCCCTTTCACTTATCTACATGATAACCCCTCAGGTTACATATCTGTGCAAACATTGAAAACTACCTTTCGCTCGTGACTTTGTCCGCATATAAATTGTTCTTGGCTAGTTTGATATCTTAGATCATTTTCCCATGTTGTGGGCTGGAGCATTTCTCTATAGGTCAGATTAAAACGTTTATTAAATTTATAGAGTGTAAGCTAGTGTTTTACAACTGGACGCGTTGTATTAGTATGGGACTTTCAAAATTTTCTTATGTTTTAATGTTTTTCAAACCATCTTTCTTTAGGGAGAAATGTTTAAAATCACTGTACGAACTCTCTTTTAAAATGATAATGGCTTCTTTGTCATCTCGTCATTATCATTTTCCTGCTCTTTTTCCAATTGTTTGGTTTCGATGAGGTTTGATGATTTTTTGTGCCATGCCACAGTACCACACTTGGCAGGCAGATTGGCAACCACAGTTACGCTTTAGAGATGTTTTAATAGGGACGCTGCTGCCCATCCCTCGCCCTCTCTTAGTCGTCTGTTATGACACCCACGGGAAAGACTATTCTATGCTGGGACCACACGGCTATGTATCATTTATATTAATAACTTTTTTTTTAAAAGAATCTCTTCATATCCAGTATCAAATGTTAATAATTGGAAAGTATTAACTTTTAGATTTTCGAAACAGGAATTAGTGCAATATAAAGTTGAGATAATTTAGGTATATTATTATTATTATTTATTTTACAACACAGGGTGCAAACGAGCATGCGGCTCACCTGATGGTAAGTGACTACCGCCGCCCATGGATCATTATCATATTATCATAGTTTACCCAAATGATCACGTTTCTTATGAAACAAAAGTTGAACAGTATATTTGTTATATATACCTAGAATCACGATTAGCATAATTTCTTTCTATTTATAATAGTCCACTACTGAGTTTTTTTTAATGGGTGATAATGGTATGGTAACCCCGTCTGCGCTATCGGTATACACTGACGGGGAACCAGTGATAGATGACTGATGAGGATGAAAGCAGGTTAGTGAGCCCATCGTGACGAATTCAATAAGAATTGTTCACGGTGGTTTCCAGGGGGAACCACGTGGTGGTCGATCTAATAGGTAATAGACTGCTAGCAATGGGGCTGTCAAACTCTATTGCTAACAATCCCTTCCCCCCACTACTGAGTTAGGTCTATAGTTTATACTCGTATTGTACAAGAGATATAAATTCGAATATGAATACTTGTTATTACTCACAATAATTGCCAGGGGTCGATTTAATTACCCTTTTAATCCCTCCTCTAACTCTGATAGTATCCTTTTAATTGCTATGGTATTTTTAATTAGTTTTCTAGTAAATGTTACTTTTAATGTTGTAATCATACGTTAATATTATTAAAGTATTTTATTTATGACAAACTGTTTCCTGTGACTTTGGCCGCGTGGAGCCATTCTCTTGTTTCTATGGGAATTTTGGAAAGGAAAAAAAAATTTTTTTTGAGTTTTCTGTGAAATTAAAAATATGTGTTGCATTTTATAGCGCACATAGAGGTAATCAAATGCCCGTGTCACTACATTTCCTCTAGTTACTCCGTTAGAGATTTAACGTAAAAATATTTAGGCTGTACCCTAACCTAATTGAATAACTAGTTGATAACTATGCCTAGGTTTAGAACTATTACAAATTATATTAATACTAATAAAATGTTAGGTTCTGTGTGGGTGAAGAAAGGTTCTTTGGTGACGACCCCGTACGGCCAAACGCAGTGTAGGACGTCCGCCCACAAGGCGGAGTGACGACTTCTAATGCATTGCATGGTATCGGTGGATGCAGGTGGCTTAGGACTGTTC